CACCTCTTCTTTTGACCTTTGATCCCTAGTCTGATACATAATGCATTATCTCAGTCCAGTTCCCTTTACAACGACCACATTTCCTGGTAATGCCAGACAAAAACCTTCTGAGCATTACAATCGTTCAGACGAAATCTCTGGCCCCAGAAGTTCTTCCGGGTCTTGCAAACAGGATAGATAACGTGGAAAAAAACGCTTAGAAAGTGAGCTTCTCTTAAGGCTTGCCAACATTATGGGGTGTGAGTTCGGATCACCCGGGCGATGGATGCGGTTAGGATTCCCCATAGCGCCACAGGCGCGACAAGGATCGCGATCCCATTCGCTACGCTCCCATGGATGATGGCTAACGCTGATAAGGATTTCTTTCCTAACCTACACCCCCGGTAAGAAAAAAATTCAATTACCTCTGTCACACTTGCAGCAACAGTCTCAGTCACGCCCGCACCAACAACTGTTTGCACACCTTCAGCTTCAACCTAAAAATATGCTTTTTTGGTAAATAAAATGACAAACAACATCGGCGGTGCCGTTATCACCAGGTTCCATCGCTAAAATTAGAATTTCACAATCTGTACTTACCTTGAGGTAAGACCGTGTTTACAACAGTGCCCGAACTTCTATCAACCGAAAATAGACGTCCGAGCTGCTGTGCAATCTATGGGGAAACACGTAGCAATCAACGACCGGGCAGATGAAAGGGCAGGGCAAAAGAAAGAGTTGATCACGTAGCTTTCGATGCTCGATGCTACCCAAGAGGTCTCCTCAAAACCCTCAAATCAACCTACACTAATTAGGGCAGGTCGCAGTATACTCCAGCGAGGAGGGGATGTATTTACCTTCGAGAAAAACACATCCGGTTGCTGAATCTTCTCGGGTTTTCCCCATCAGAAGAACTCTCTGAGCTTTCTTCCCACCCCCCCCACTATTCGACGGCATTTTTTAGGGGAAAATCTGAAGCTTCTGGGAAAAAAAACTCCGGAAGAGTGTTGGGAAGTTGGGAGACTTTAGCGAAATTGAGGGACGGGGGTGGGAGGTCCTATTTGGAGAAGCTCTCCCTGCAGCAGGAAATGGCCTGTAGCAGAATCTAATTTGTCAGATTCCAAATTGAGCTGCAGGAATGTGGGCTGGGGAACCCACCACACAGCGATGCGCATGAACTCTCTACATTTACCTAATGGTTGACCAGTTGTGCTACCGCACCTCCACGTCAAATTCTTAAGGTTTTGGTGCGGATGCGCTGCACGTGAAACCAACTGCAATGCCAATTTCGTCGCATTCACGCAACGTGGGATTCACACACCAACACCCAGCCGCAAGGCAGCAGTTAAAAAAAGCCAAAACGTGCATTGCGGGACCTTGGTATTTTTTACCAGTACATAATTCTGCTGGACGGCTTCAACACACGATAGTATTATTGCGGGGCTTCATGTGGCGCGATAGGAAAGAAAAAAACGAAAAATGGTTCCTTTACGAACTAACCTTCTGTTGTGGAATGATACCTGTGCACATGCTATCGACTTCATCCTGAAATTCAAAATATTCTGTAAGCATTTTAGCTGGACGGAGACGAAATGTAAACGGATAGTGTACGAAATAAAAAATGAAAAAAATGTGCAATAAGTTGGAATGAGAAAAGCACTGACCTTCAGCATATTGACAACGGTATGAACTGTCTCGGTAGCTTCCGCCTGAAAACATTATTGGTTGATTTGAAGGTAGGGAATTAGGGGAACATTCCGCGCTCGTAGTGTGGACGGAGGTGGGCCCACCACTACACCCTTCCCATTCGTGACAAGGGGGTGGCGCAGTGGGAAACACACAATGAGGGACTGGGTTTGCTCCTACGATCAACCTCGGTTTTGCCTTTGAAAAGATTCGAAAAGGGTAATCGGCACTCCACCCCCTACCCAAACATGTCCACTTCGATTGCTCTTTTTGTGAGTGCGTTCGCCCACCCATGAAGTATTCGGGAAAGACATCAAAACTCTTGAAAAACCTACAGTGGAGCGATTTCTACCTCTAATCCAGGGCCCGGCGAACGTTGGAGATCACCAGCAAGGGGGAAGGAGAGGTCATATTTGCCCTGGTGAAAATGTTTCCGGTGGAGGGAACTTCTGAAGAAAACATCAGGAAAATGGCAGGAAGTTGTCTGTATCCAGTAATATTGGGGGGGGGGGAAAGTAGGATGAGGAAGGAGAGAAGGGGGTCGGGGGGGGGGGAGGGGGGCTGCCGTTAATTCGCAAAATTTTCTCTAGCGCGAGGACGTAGCCCGCTATAATCAGAACTTCGCCCATCTCTCTGCACGTACAGGAGAGCTGTCAGCTGTTATTCTGGAGTCAGATATTTCGCCTCATAAAGGAGTTTTTCTTCTGTCAAACTGCAAAGAGATAAGAGATCATTCAATCAATGGTAAATGCCTTGGATGGGTCTCTACAAGGTCCGGTAGCAATCGATGCTACAGTCACGGGCTGACCTGGCACTTATCTATGCAAAATCCTTACCTCATCTGATGGCTGTTGATGGCTTTCGTCAAGTGGACGTGGAAGATCCAAAACTGGACGGAATGTGGTGATCATTTTCACTTCCTCAGGTGTGTAGAGCTCTGTTAGAAGCGGGCCTGCAAATGAACAGCTCAGTGGCGATAAATCGACCAACAAGACGAAAGGTTAGCAAACACGAACCTTGGTGATGTACTGCCATCGCGTCAATTTTGAATGTAAGAACGTGGGACATTGTAGTCTTTCGGTGAACAATAGATAACAGGTGGCATTCCGAAGCAACACTTTCACTCGAACGTGTTACCGTAACCCTAAAATAACGATTTGTTAAGCTAGCACCCAATTACCCTTGGAAAAGTCGCACTTACGCCATGTCCCTGGTTTGTCCTGGAGTTAAAATTGTTGGATGAAGTTGGATGTGCTCCGGCCAGTCTATTGGAGCGACCTGGAATTTCGCAATATTGGAAGGAAATGGAAATATCCAGTGGAACGTACACTCAGATGTAGGTCTTTTCGAGAGAGATTGGTAAGTTTAAAAGTTTTCCCGTAGATGACAGCCGTGCTAGAAAGACGTCCAACGAAACGTGTGGTCGACTCCTGAATTTATTGTAAACAGACGAAAGAGCATCAGAGTACATTCGAAAATGAAGAGCAAAGTGTAAATATGAAGAAGAAGGGGGGAAAATGATGACGAACTCACCCCAACTACTGCAACGGTTGGAACTTTATTCAATTTCACGTACTTTCCAACAATTCGACTCTTCGAGGACGACTGAAATAATGAAAATAAATAATAGAAACCCTTTTTCACCGAAGAACAGATGCTACTGCTCAAGTACGTCAAATTACTAAGACATTTCTACATGAAACTCAGAAGCAAGTCCTCTAGGAGGGGAGATATTTGAGGGGCCGTTCAGAAATCTGAGACCAGGGCACGTCCCGCTGAGGAGGAGAATTTGTGCAAAATACGACCCTCCCCTCGAAATTTCTTCCACTGGTACGACCCCCTCCCTTAAGCGACCCGATACGCCTCGCTGAGAACCTAATGGGTCGACGTGCCCTGCCTAAGACCACCATACGAAACTCCCTTTGTGAACCGAAGAAATTTGTTCGCCCCCTTCCCCCGCAGCCGCTAATCATTCAGGCCTGCGCAAGAAGCTTCGTCGCTTGAGGGAGTCCTTCCCCCCCCCTCCTAGCAGACTTGCTCCAAGAATTGTTCATGAAAAGTAAGGCATACCTTCACTTTGGTGACCTTGGCCTGTTCCTTCTGCGGAGCGGTAAGTGTAGATGGTTCCTCGACTTCCACCTCTGGTGGTGCACACTTCACCTTCTTTCCCACAAGGAAATCTCGAATGTCAGCTTGAGCACCACAGGTTTTGCACGAGGGTTGGGCAATCTGGAAGTCATAAAGAACAATTAAGCAACGTGGCAGGACCAAATCAAAGCATTTGCTACGGTTCTGGGCCAAATAAGTCACATTCTCTATTGGGCGGTCGCGTGCCCAATTTTCGAAGTTACGAATGGACTAGCGACAATGTTCTCCATGACCTGTGTTTCTTCTGAAGTTTGACGCTAGGCACAAGAGCTTCTGATAAACGAACGCGTGTAGCGGCCGGTCAGCCAAACAGACGCGGCCGAAAGCGGATACGAATCCTTATTCAGGGAAGGGGCCTGCCAAGCAACCCCCACTTCGCGAGCCATTCTATCGCCGAACAAAAATTGACGATGATTCAGCCCAAATTTCGAAACAGGTCATAAAATGTATAAAAGCCAGATCACGCTTCTGATGGAAAAGAAAATTCGGAAAATGCTCTCGGATCACAAGGTCCTCCTTCCTGGCCCTCCCTTGCGTCTTACCCTAATGTCGATGCAGGGACTTTACAGAGGAGCTGCGTCTAGTAGCACCACTAGCCTGTTGCTCCATCAGTTAATGGAAACTGGCATTTTGATCGCTAATCCGATGATCGCCGAATCCAGCTCGCGCCGCCCCAGCCTGTAATGCCCATGCCATCCAGCAGCAGTGGCAAGAATGTATGGCACTCGCAGAAAAAGTAGTAAAAGGATAAAAATTCCCCCCCCCAAAACAGGCGACTGAACTTTTTGAACTTGACGCCTCTTACCAAGACGACTGACAACAACAGTGGCAATGGGATCAGCGAGATCAGTGGAGATTAACCAGATAGAAAAAAGAAAACAGGTAATTCCAGGTGTGAGGGAGGGGCTGCGAGAGTGAGCTTCTTTAATCGTGCCAAAATAGCTGATAAAATAAACGAAAACAGAATAGACGTCTTACATGCGATTCCAAGTTCAACAAAATCGCTTCGTTGGCGAAGATAACTCCTTATCTTAATCTGTGGAGTGGAGGTATGCGCGCAAGCAGAAAAGTATACGAGTATGATGATGAAGATACCCAGAAGGTTCACCCAGCCTAAATACTTTTTGGCACGATGCGTTTCCCAGTTACCCGCCCTCCGTGGCGCGTCTCTAAGAAGAGCCAGAACTCAAACTAAAAGGATGAATCCGCTTTTACCATGTCCCCGAAGAAGTTCCAACGCGTAAGACTGAAACTGACTTATAGACAAGGACAGAAGGAAGCGCCATGAGACCGGACAGCTGATGGAGTGTATAGAAAAAGCCATTTGCCATCTGTTCTGTAGTCTTCGGAAAAGACCAGAAATCATCGATTGCGAAAAAAGAGCTCTGCTGAATTTTGAGTGCCCCATATTTCTGCTGCTGACGTTTTTGTTATGCAAAGACGTGGCGCCGAAAGGACTAGTTCCAGAGCGTACAGCAGAAGTTTATTGGATTTTTATAAATTAGTCCTAAAGTGTTCCCGAGCTGAAAGTCCATAGCCAACTGCTGCTGTTTCAAGTGTTTCCCATCGCTTCGCAGATGAGCGTGGTGATACGTGGTCGCAGTTCCGGCAGTTGAGGGTCTACTCAGCCTCAAATAGGCAGAGCACTCCATGGTTAAGCTGGTAACCGCGCAGCTTCTGCATGTTCGAAAGTTTTCGCTTTCAGGATACTTGTGCAAACCTGCGGAGCCTCGGGCTTTACTCGCCTATCTTGTATCCTCCCTCCTACTATTCTTTTCTTAGCCTTTATCACTTCTTCTCTCCTGCCATTTTCCTTCTTCCTACAAATACTCGAGTAATAGTTGCGATCAGAAAATACTTCTGAATCCCTGCATTAGAGAATGTTTGGTTGACAGAAGCCCTGTAATCCAAAGTTTTCAGAAAATGGAACAGCTCACCTTTCTTCCCACCATGTACACACGAATATCGTTCTGATTTTTCTCTTTCTTCGTTTTCCTCAATTTTCGATTCCTCAGCGCTAACTTTTTCGGTTTTCTTCTAAAAACCCTAGTGCAATTATATCAAACGGCAGAGGGGCTCATGAATCAAAATTGTCAATTACTTCCTAACCAACCTTTGATTTTCGTTAGCTCTGTTCAGTTTCATTCTCATGTATTCGTAAACATCGACAGCCGGACTGGCATTTTCCGATGGAGTTGGGCCAGATTCCGCGCTGGATTCTGTTACCTCAGTGTCTGTGTTTTTCGATGGGGAGACACTGTGTACACCATTACGTGACTTTGACGACTTCGACGATTTGGTGGGTTCTTTGGAATAATTGTATGGAGTTCTGAGAAGTTTTCTGCTCTTCGTCGGCTTTTGTTCCAGCATTTTCAATAGGGCAGCGATCCACTAAAAATTAGTTCCATTATTATGAAGATACAGAAGTTCGAACATTGATCATGCAAGTGACGTCAACTGCGCTAATGAAATGAGCAGCAGTCAAACAGGATTCATTTGAGGATTAAATTGCTGTCAAAAACTGGTGCAAGGAAATCTCTTCAATGCGCTAGAAATCGCTCCACTCACCTTAGAAGCTTTTTCTCCCGAGGCTTAGACAAAAGTCCTGAACCTGTCGTACTCCCCACTTTGCACAAAGATTCCTTTGATTGCACCTCCCCGCGTAGCCAAATCGCCCATAAAGGAAGTTCTCTCGCTCACCTGCTTCATGTTTTTCTCTCGCCTCGTTGCGCTCTCTTATCCGATCGGAAGTGCGGTCTTGAAGGGCACGTGCTTCAAGCGTCCTGTCTCTACACGCACCAGTACTCAGAGCGGCAGTCATCGACAAGGAAGCTTCGCCGCTGTGTCGGCGGTCCCATTTCTGAAGAAAAGCGATCTTCAGAGATACATTCCGCGCGGGTTTGTATGGGACGGATAGAAAAGAACAACACTTCGATTGGGGCGTTCCCCTTGCCTTACTGCGTCTCGGAAAGGGATGTGACACGCAGCGAATGAGGAAAGTCTGGTTGTCTGTCTCGCCTTACCTGGTTATCGTGGAAGATGGTGTTTTGAACAGGAGGGTTATTCCAATGTGGGTTCGCAGCAGTTACAATAAAGTCAGTGTGTCGAAACACGCTATGAGTTAAAAGTCACGTCCGGCGATGCAGGTATAGGATGTGGTGTAAATATGGGCGTGAGGAGGATAGTGTGGCCGCGCGAGCGAAGCGAACCCTGTACTAGTTTCGGCAAAGAATGGTGTAAGGGAGAGCGGCGCTTAACCAAAATAGGTTCAGGTGGCGCGTTTTTGTTTTTCGCAGGAGAGCTCCGCTCCAGTGAGGCTCGCCATTTAGCTGAAAAAACGAGGACGAAAAGGCATGAAAATGCGTCACTTTGTACGGTTGTGAGATTTCTTTATACGGAGGAATCAGGCTGTGCCGGATGAAAGCTAAAAAATGTTGGAGGAGGACATATAATGTGCGGCACGTACGAAACTAGGGATCGGAAATGGGTTTCTATTTAGGAACATATTGGCATGTTCTCTGCTTTTTTTCTTGGCGCTATCGATACTCTGAAGCCTTGTCGGCCTATGATGCAAAACTCGATGCCACTATCTATGATGGCAAATGATGGCGTGGATTGCCTTGTTAATGAAAGTGGGGAGGGGCAGAGCCACGTGGCTCCTACGGACTCACGCATAAGCTAGTCGGCTTTTACTGTGGCCAGTTTTTATGTCCCGATCGTCCGCTATGGTAGTACACTCATGCATCCGGAATACATCCCATCAGCGGAGCCAGTCCGCGCCTCGCCCTCTCGCAAGCAGTTTTTTGATGGCATCTTTTCAAACCCTGGAGGGCAGCTGCCCTTACAGCATACAGGCTTCAGACCCAGCACAAAAGTTCGAGCACCCACGTAGTCGTGGATCCACTCGCCAAAGAGAGCGGCATCACCTTATTGCATGAAGGAGCTGGACCATTTCGGAGCTCCTTCACTATGACGCCAAGAGGCTCATCTGGTTTCAGCGCCAAAAAACAGCGCTATAGGGTCGAACGGGTGTTTGGGAAGGGGGGGGGGGGGTGGCTGATTCTCCGTCACAGGATGTGTCATGGAAACCATGTGAATGTCTTCAACATCATGTACTGGGCTACGTCCCTGTAGCTAGACTAATCGTTTTACGGAGAAACAAAATTCAAATAAATATCCAGTTATTGTCACGAGTAAGGTCGAACCTTTTGGATCGCTATGAGAAATCGAGGCTTGCATGAAGAGCTATTATAGTCGGGCTCGACCACCGAGGGTGAATCCATCTCGCGAATTGAGTTCACTTGTTGGATTGTTCGATGAGTCCAAGGTAGGGCAGTCTTTAAACAACACAGATTTAGATCTGCAAACGGGATCATAATTGACTATAGAAGGCTTCACATTTGCTGAGATGACCTTCGCCAGAGCCAAACGGTAGTCTGTGGCTCCCAGTTTCCATGCCTTAGAACGGAAGAAGCAAGAAGCAGAGTAGCTAAATAAACATTTAGGAAATTTGGACTTTGAACATCAGTGAGCAACACGAAATGGAAAAAGAAATGAGGGAGTAGGTTACTGGGTGGTTACGGTAGTGCTATGAACATTGAGCTGTAAGACCAGATTGCGCAGTGCATGAAGCACGGTAGAAGTGGTCGCGGCATTGCTAGCCTGTTTTCTGGGCTGACCAAGGACGCCACTGGGGCATGTGAAGGATTTGCGCCCGCGACTAGTTTTAGGGAAGTAATTCCAAAGATGTTCACCACATGGTGAGAGGCAAGGTATCGAGGCGCAGCACAGCACCGCTGAGCCACACCAGATGTTGGCGGGTTTTGGATGGAGCTTATATACGTGGAGAAAGCCGCCCAGCGCTGGCGTTCCAAGGGCGCACGCCCCGGCCCTCCAAGCCCAGTCTTTTGGCAGAGAATAGACAACTGTAGCTAGAGCGCAGTGCTCTCTCGCTGAAAGTGACTGCATGGCAAAGGAATTACGCTGGGTAAGGCAAGCATTCGAAAAGCGTTTGACGCCTCCTGACCGCCTTGCGAAAGCATACTGCTTGTACAGTTTGTCGTTATAGGGGTGCTTAGGCTCGAAAATCGAAGAGAGGCGTCACCAAAAATTTCAACAGTGCTTGCGATATGCAAACCCTGAGACATCATGGGAAATTCGAGACCAAGTCCTCGGTGAAGGAAGCTGAAAAAGAATGCCGTAGGAGTTCTACCACTCTGTTTTGCTGTTCGACGGCGCAATGGGATATGATAAAGCAAACCTCGGGGACGAACGCATCGGCTGGGAGAGACGTGCAGGTGCTTGTCGTCTGAACAGACTTCTCCAGGCGACCCTGCTCGGTCGGCAGCAGACTTGGACGAGGTGGTGAGAGTAAGCGCAAGGCAGACTCCTGAAAAACGTATCTTTTAGACGGCTTTTGTTTTGCAACCGCACATTTCTGGATAATTTAAAGGCAGTTGGCACGATAAATCCCCCAAGACGACTAGGATCAATACTCCTGGCAGGATAGAATTCCGCGACCCTGGGCAGGCGCTGCATAGCGTGCACAGGTGGCCTTAAAATGGCGCCTATCAGCCATAACATTACGTCGCCAAACGCGCCGCGCACGCATCGCGCCGTGGTTAGGCTGTAATGCATGTATGGGTACATCATATGCAGCCGTATCTTTGGTAGCGGTGATTGGCAAGACGCCTATGGGAAACTCGTCCGAAATCGTATTACTGAGAAGTTACTGAGAACGGAGGCTTTTTCTCATAGTAGTTTGACGCGTCTTTCAGCTTCCGTTCTTTTGCCAGTTCCCCAATATACAGCGCCCTACTAGCATTTTAGGCTAGGTAGGAAACCATCGTGCCAACTGCCTTTAATCGTTATAACCCCAGTTTTCAAAATGCGGTGTAATCGTTATCGAAGTATGTCCCAGGGAGGGAGCGGGTGCTGAGGAAGGGGAGGAGAAGGGGTATGCTCGGCTCGACTATTATAAGGGATAATTTGATCATTGATCCACAACCTCCTATTGTTTTGATGAAATAATAGCCTGCGGGCACCGGGAGCAGGGTACAGGATTGGATGGGTGGAGGACAGGGGTTGTGATAGCCACCTAGACAAAATCTCCCCCTGCGTAAAACCCTCTGCCTCCCCTACTTACCATTCCTTACTTATCCGATTCCTACGTTTTTCCCAACTGCTGTACATTAAAAAGAAAAAGTTTCTAAGGCCTTTTCTCTAGAAAAGCTAGCTCGAGCGGTGACGTGATAGTGGGTCGCAACGCAAACAAGACTGGCTAAACTGCACTGATAAACGTGGTAAGCATAAGTGCTTTTACTGCCCCCGACCAGGAAGGGGGAAGGGAACAAATCTGTCAGAGGGTCCGATAGAGCTCTGCAAGATACGACCCTCAACGACTAAATGCGATTCCTCTTCCAACGATCCACACCCCTCACGGGGTCCTCCCAAGGATACTGGCCCCTAGAACGCAGGCGCAAGATTTGCTTGCGTCAAACAGGTGTCACATTCCCCGTTCCGTTTCCGAAAGGTGGGATCGGAAGGAGTGAATTATGCGAACGCCGTTATGCAGAAGATAGAAGTGTACCATATAGCTGCAACAAGTTCTCAGACCTTTATCATTTCCTGGCGCTGTTCCAACTTCTTAAGGAACTCAATGAAACCAGCATCGAACTCGATATCTGATGGTTCAAACAGAGCAATATCCTCTGGTGATTCCTTCAGACTCTGGAAATAAAAAGGCTAAATGCTAGATTCGAGACTGTCTCAGTTCCAATATGAATCACGTTCATACCATAAAACTCAAATATCAAACTCTGACCTTCTCCTGAGCGAACGTGTGGCATTTCCAGCATACTGTACGAGGTTCACTCTCGAGTTCGAAGTCTACACGTTCAACTTGGCGTTTTTGACAAGTGAGAAGCAGGTCCTTAAGAAGAATCAAAATATTTCACACTCATAGGAGAATTTTCAATCAGAACATTCTCAGGGAACCGGTCTACCTTGGACCAACTAGGCTCACCACTTATTTCGGACCGCTACCGCATTCTAGGAAGGTGGAAAGAAGGGAGAGAATGAAGTAGGCGCAATGAGCTTCTTCCTTCTTAGGCCTGGGCGATTGTAATGAAAACGCGTCGCACGTTGATAAGACCACAGCGAGGGATCGTATTTGGCCGCCAGTAGGAGGGGATGGCGTCTAGCTTCGAAATTTTTTGACAGTCGATTTTTTTCTACGCGCGCTATCTACATCGTTGGAAGAATTCTCATAGAGGGGGGGGTCGTATTTACTTGTTCTTGGGAGGAGGATCATATTCGCCTTCGAAAGGAGTGTTACAAGTTGTCAAAATAAATTCCTGTTGTCGAATTATAGCTTATAAATCCTTTTCGTTTACTATATTCCATTACCCCCCCTCCTCGATGACAGAATTTTATAATAAATAAGGTCAAATTCTTGGAAAAGTGGGAAAAAGTGGTAGGAAGTAGGGGAAAGCCAGTAAGATGGTCGGTGGGATGGTGAAGGGGGGGGGGTTGTACCAGGGAGGGATTCCAGAGGTCGGTCGTATTCCCCAAATATTCTCCCCAGCGGCAGGAAGTGCCCTGACAGAAGTCCCTGGTAAGGTAGTTCAACATAATTTTGCGTAAGCAGCCCCTTGAGTGCCCTTCGAAGGGAACTTCGCTTTTTTTCATTTTCGAACTTCATCCTTCCG